AAAAAAAAAAAAAAAAAAAAAAACAAGCCAACAACTGGGTGTTGGCCCTAAAATTTCGCTCTCTTTATTTTTCGTTTGTAACAACGCCCCCTTTTCTGTCATCATGATGTCCGACTAGAGAGGTCAAGGAAACAAAGGAACTCTTCTTTTAGAGATCGCAGGATTTTTACTTTTTGCCCGAAGGCAAGCGTTGATTTGTCTCTATTGTGTCTGTTTGTGTCCTATTGCCCTGGTGTGATGCTGGCGTCCGAAACAACGCCCCCTTATCTGTCAATTGGATGATGATGAACGAGTTTTTGATGGTGTACAAAATTCTTCCATATCGCTATAGAACCGTGTACAAGCTACATGTAAGCTTAAGAAGACAGTATTACAGGTCACACCATCTTCATTTTATGGGTGCCATCCTCTGAAGACCCCCAAACTGGTACGCGCGGGCGAAGAAAAAAAATCCAGCCCAAAAAATGCTACTAAACCACAGAAATACAAATTAAAAAAAAAAAGCTGCTATATATTGTGAATTTGCGGCAGTACATAGCGACGTATACGACAAGCCTGCACGTGCTGGCTTTTTGTAGACTTTATGAGTCGGCACTGGTCAGAGCTTCGAAGGACGTTATCTTTTTTTCTTTGAGAACAGGCGAAAATCAATGCGCGCGCGGATGTCATCCATAAAAGTAAGTCGGTGTGGCCTAAGCACGTTTGTAAAATAGGCCAAGGACAACTTGCTATATGCCTCTTCATTTTTTGTAACTACTCTTTTCTCCAAAGCATTAGATAAAGGACTTAAGACAGGAATCATTTAAACTAGTTTTTGATGGTGATAAATAATTTTTCCAGTTCGCTGTTGGACAGTGTAAGCTACATGTAAGACAGAAGTCATTTTGTACTCACCTGTCTGTCACAAGAACCCTCAAGATATTTACCAGCAATGATGTCTTAAAAGGTTTCAGTCAGTCCTTGATTTTCCTTATACCCCGTCACCACAGATGTCTTTGGGCGTCAGAAGTCTATTACTGTTTGGTCCACCACAGTAAAGCGTCAAATGGTCCCACCTGTTTGATCTGAAATGGTCTTCTAGTTTCTGAGAAGCTTGGGGAAGAGAGTGATTGCGTGCGTACACCAGAAGAACTGGTTTTTAGTAGCCGGCATCACTCTAGATCTGTCCAGCAATGTAGTTCACTTTGCCTAAAGCTAGGACTCTACGCTCGAAAAAGTCTTTTTGGCGACGTCTCAGGGAGGAGCCTAATGGTACAGTATTGTGTGCAGTTTGCAAGAATTCTAGGAATGGTACAGGCATTTTGTCCACAGGAATTCAATGTCCACAGGCATGTCTCTGACCCACATCTATGCCCACATTCCTGGAAACCCTTGGGAAGACCTGTCTGCCCCTTCATTCTGTGACCCCGGGGCTCGTTCACTGTACACTCAGAGGAGGAGTGCACTGTATCTGTCTAGACTTAAAAGTACCAAGTCTTCCTCAAAATCATGAAATGATGGCAGTGCCATGCAAACAATAACCCTAACAGCAACCACCATGGCAATGCATGTTTTCATTGCCAGTCTTGTTTTACATTGTGCGGTAAGACTTTACAATGACAGTGATAAATAATGGTTGATATTTGAAAACCCATGTCTGCTATTTCCTGTTGTAGATTGAATGGTGTTTGTACATATTTGTATATGGTGTGTTTCTGTGTACTTGTCTTGTTTTTTTAACCTATTGTAAAAATCGAATACACAATTCAGGAGTGCATTAACATTTCCTGCTTTTATACGACTTTGTTTCATTGAATGAATTGATTGATTGATTGAAATTGATTGTAGGGCAGATTCCGCAGTTATGGTTGCCCATAGGAACCTATGATTAATTACACTAAAATAAGTCCCCATGAAAGTAATTTATCACATTTCAATCTCAAACATTCTTCTGCACCAGAGAGCAACAAGAGTCTGTTTCCCAAATATAGAAGGAAAACCAGAGGGTTGTCCAGCTCAAACTCTGACAACAGCTCACAACAGTAAACAAACCCTAATTTTGACCTAACTTCCTTAGACAAGAAGGCTATGAAATCATTTTGCTTAACTGTGGGAAACTATGCTGCATAACTATTGAAGGCATTGAATGGAGGTATTGTTTTTGGTGCGTCTGTGTGTGTGTCTGTGTGTTCGTGTTTCCTGACATTTGCAGCCAGCATAACTTTTGAACCCTTGGATGGATTGTAATGATATTTGGTATGTGGGTAGGTGTTGGGAATACGTTGTTCATATCTGGACTTATTGGCTTTTAAAGATTTCGCCAGAAAGTCCCCTGCAGTTCCAGAACAAGCTGCTTGGGGGACCAAACCCACACCACTTATTCCTGACAGGAAGATCTATCTGTCACCAAAATGTCAAGACCATAGCATGTTCAAGATAAAAAAAGTTCTGCTGCAGTACCAAGGTCATCCACCAGGTGGTCCATATTTGACCATGACCTTTGCCTACCTAACATCTACCCACGTATCATTACAATCCAAGGGTTCAAATGTTATGCTGGCTGCAAATGTCTGAAAACAGAAACAGAAACACACAGACACACACACAGACACACCAAAAACAATACTTCCATTTTTCATGGAGGTAATTAGTATATAGCAATGTAGTCATGAAGTCAACATGGTGGATTTGCTGTGATCAAAGATTGCATGTTTAATTCCATAGTAAACATGATGCAGCATATCTGATAGTCATACAGAAGTCAGCATAGAATGTGCACTGATATTCTCATAGTTTGAATTTTAGTACTGATTTATACTATTTTCTCTCTATTTGTGTATATGTATGACACTGCTTCAATACAGAACAATAAGAACACATATTCATAATCCTAATGCATATTCCTAAGCCTTATAGCCTTAGGCCATTTTTATTTGATTATATGAATGACATTCTCTGGGAACCTCAAAACTGATGTTAGGTCACACCGATTTAATTTTATGGATGACATCCTCTGAAGACCCCCAAACTAGTGCGCGCGGGCGAATAAAAAACAATTCCGGCCAAAAATAAAAATGCTACTGAACCACAGGAATACAAAGCTGGTATTGTGAATTCCCGACAGTACATAGTGACGTATACGACAAGCCGGCACATGCTGGCTTTTTGTGGCATTTATGAATCGGTACTGTACTTATGTACTGAGTAATTGAGTCGTGGAGCTTCGGTAGCCTGGGTGCCCGGCTCCGTTTTGTCGCTGACTAGCGTGGACTCCCCTGGGCCTAGAGCCAGGCCAGAGCCTCGGTGGAGGTAATCTTTTTTTCTTTTTTTTTTTTGTTTGAGGGCGAGAGGCGAAAATCAATGCGCGCGCAGTGTGGCCTTAGCGTGCCAATATAGAAATATGGCAATGAAAAGTTGCCTTCATGATGAAATCTATGTGGTCATGAAGGTTGAACGATTAATGACTAAACACACAGAGTATGGTATGGCAAATGATAGACTCTTCATTTTCAACTTCTTTTCCATTTTGGGATTCTATGTCATTAGTATCGTTTTCCTTTTTTTCAATTCACAGCATATATTTGCTCATTTTGCAGCTGCTTGATACAATTTACAGTATGACCAAAAACTTTTTTTTTGGAAAGGGACGAAAATTCATACGCACGCTGATGCCATCCATACAATCAAATCAACATGGCCTATGTCTACAATCACAACGTTGCTGATGGTACAACATGTATACCTAAAGAGCATGGCATGGATCTGTTGTTCATCTACGTATCCCTATCACTATACTCCAGGACTTGGTTGAATGTTATATCCAAGCATGTGTGATTCTGGCTCTATTTCTGGCAAATTTTCCACTGTCTGCCTCAATACATAAGACCACACATGTACAATGGTAACATACAATATACACATGTATGCTCGACAACAGGCCAATACGAAATCAAATTTTATACATACTGTACCCTGGGACCAGAATTTGTCTGATTTATTTGAATACAAAGAAAAATTAAAAAGAAATTATGACTACAGCTAACTTTAAAGGCTTCATCAATCTAATAAATTGGTTCTCGGATTCACCTGCTTCATTTTTTTCTGATTTGCAAAGAAAAAAAAAGAAATCAGGTTCTGAATCAACTCAAACAGATAAGGAAAGTCCTTGTCTTCATAGTTGTTACAGTTTTTCCATCTAACAATGCAGTGCTTTGATTAAAAGTTCACAATTCATTGTTTGAATTGCAAACCAGCCTGGTATGTTGACTTGATGTTCATGGCTCCTATTGTAACATTTGGGCTATCATAGGAGGTCTAGGCCTGCTTCTATTTTTTTCACCCTGTTGCTTCATATTTTTCTGAAAAAAATATTTTAAAAATCTGAGAACCAACAAATTAAATTGGTTTGGCCTAACTCCACCTTTATCTGAACCCAAGTGAAGGCAAGAATTAGCCTCTACCAGGCTTTGGGAGGCGGCTGGAAAGAATAGAAATTGGCCTAAAAAGAGAGACGACATGCCAGGGGAGTTGGTCCACTAGAGAGTAGAGTGTTCGGGCTTGGCAGTCTATACTTTCTAGCAGACCAACTCCCCTGGCATGATATCTCACTATTTGGCCAATTTCTACTCTTTCCAGCCACCTCCTGAAGCCTGGTAGAGGTTGTAGGCAAGAATAACTCCATCCCTTGGAGTACATGGCACTTGGCAAGGCTTGTAGGGTTTCCCTGGCTATCAGAATGGGACATTGATATGTTTACATTGCACAATTGAGTACAAACTTTCACAAAAACAATGTACCAATGCAAAAAAAAACTGTTAAAACAATATGCTGCTGCCAAAATGCTTACAGCAGTAAAAATTAATAGATATTTTAAACATATTTTTCCTGCACCTGCCACCACTGTGAACATATAGTTCCATGAACGCCTCCATTTTTCTCAGACCCCGAACTTTTGCTACCATGAACACAAAGTGAATAACAGTACGATAGGGATACAAAATATTTCATAATTGAGCAAAAACAAATGGTTATGGGGTGCTTAATCAGGTTCAACGTATATATTAATTCATTCTTAAAATCTATATTTTGGTCATTTGTGCATGGTCATGTGTCCATGTGCTACCAATTAACCCGTTGATGTGAAAAGTAGTCGCTGTAACTGTCAGGTTGAATATTTGAATTAGAGTTAATAATCTTTGAATGAACCCATTCTTTGGAAAAAAAGACAGCATGTTTGTTTTTTAAAAAAGCCTTGCTTACATACATTGTATATATCATAGGCAATATGCTGTCCAGACTAGTAGAGTGGAAAATGTCTACAAAAAGGCATGACTAGACATGATAGAGACATTTCTAAACAAAGGCCTGACAGAAAGACATGAAGTAGACATGTTTCCAGAAAAATGGCACTTTGCTAAATGGAAATAAACATTTTATATCCATACTCCCTTTATAAGTAAGATAGGGACTCCCCTAGGAGACAATTCATTATTTAGCACAATGCAGCCTTAGCATTTGCCCGATAATTAATTGTGTCCTGCCCTCTAGATTGCCTTTGAAAGCAAAGTACTTTGCATGATACTGGGGCATGTTTTTAAAATGCAATTTTGCCAGTTTTCACAGTTTTTCTAAACAGACATTCTGACAGACATTTTCAAAGCAATTGAAAACACCACAAGTCCCAAAAGAGACCCTGTGAAGACATAAGAAAGATATTCTTGGAGAATGTAAAAAAAATTTCCAGAACAAAAGACATTTTCAAGGATGTCCAGTGTCGGGTAGCTTTTTTATAGACATTTTCGGCTCTACTAAATACATTACCAATTAAGCACACTTTCATTAATACATGTACAAATACAAGTACATTGTTCAAAATAGTTGCTGTACATCAGATTAGTTGCTAAAGCTATGTTTACTTAGGCCACACCAATTTAATTTGTTGGTTCTCGGATTCGCCTCTTCATTTTTTTCTGATTTGCAAAAAAAAAAAAGATTCTGGTTCTGAATCAACTAAAAAATGCTCATATTTTGCCCCCAACAGTTGAGGAAATTCCTTTTCTTCCTAGTTGTTACAGTTTTTTTCCATCTATCAATGCAGTGGTTTGATTAAAAGTTCAAAATTTATACTTTAAATTTTAACCCAGCCTTTTTTGTTGACTTCAAGGCTCATATTGTAGCATTTGGGGCTATAATAGGATGCCTAGACCTGTTTTTACTTTTATTTTTTTCGCCCTGTCGCTTCATATTTTTCCTGAAAAAATCCGAGAACCAACAAATTAAATTGGTGTGGCCTTACCTATAATGATTAGTAGTACACATTTAAGACATCTACCACTGCAGGCATTGTGCTACAATTTGCCTTGAGTGTACCGTGCTTCCACCTCTATTCAGTATGTTTTTTGGAACACACATAGGCCACACCAATTTAATTTCTTGGTTAACAGATTCGCCTGCTTCATTTTTTTCTGATTTGCAAAAAAAAAATTTCAGAATCAACTGCAAAATGCTCAAATTTTGCCCTGAACAGTTGAAAACAGTTCTTTTCTTCCTAGTTGTTACAGTTATTCCATCTTTCAATGCAGTGATATCATTAAAAGTTCAAAATTCATTGTTTAAATTTTGAACCAGCCTGGTGTGTTGACTTCATGGCTCCTCTTGTACCATTTTGGGCCATAATAGGATGCCTAGGCCTGTCTTTATCTTTTCACCCGCCCGCTCCATTATTTTTCTGGAAAAATCCGTTAACCAAGAAATTAAATTGGTGTGGCCATATAATAATTATTCCTGATTCAGTTCATATGAGGGGTCAAGGCATGTACATTTGCACACACACACACCAGCTGTAGTTTTAAAACAACTTGTCTTTTTGTTTGTTTCCCCATCACAATTGCATGCTGTACTTTTTGTGTGATGATATTCAGATTGTAAAACACCCACATACAGTACATGAAAGGAAACATGCTAGCCTCTGAACAGCTATAGCCTTTAGCAGACCAATTCCCTGACATGTTATCTGTCTATCTGGGAAATAACTTCTCTTTCCAGCCCCCTCTGAAGCCTGGTAGAGACTAGAAGCATGCCATCATATTAGGCCATGTTGATTTGTTTAAAACTGATGCAACTGTGCAAATACAAAATGTTTGGAAAAAAGTCATAATGAAATCTACATGTATGTGGTCATGAAGGTTGAACAAATGACTACATAATACAGTGTGTATATGGCAATAATAGACTCTTCATTTTCATTTCTTCTACATTTTCTTCTTTTCCTTTGG